AACTTTTTAGATCATATAGTGCCATATGCAGTGTGTTACAGGGTGAATGCCATGTGCACTTTGAAAATGACACAGTTCTGATCGTATATATAATTATTTTTTTTCTAAAAAAATAATAAATAAAGCATGTTCTGAAGCGTTCGGAGATGATGCTGAATAAAGGTACTTTTCTGGTTGTATTAGAATTGCATGAATTCTTCAGCTATAGGTGGTTTAACTGTACAAAAACCGACTGTTTCTTACTGTATGGTCCCCTTCAACCAAAATGGTTTGATCCATAACGTGTTATGTCATTTTACTAACAGTATAATGGCATTTTAAAATACTGTGACGGAGATGACAACAATTCAGGGACAAACTTTTTTAGTCTAAAAAAGTCAAATTTTAAGTATTTATAATACTATTGATGTCATTTTTAATTTTACATTTGCAAGACATAATTGTATTCACCTTTTTGTGGTATAGTTATTTATTTAAGTTATTTATTTTACAAATTATGACATTAGGAATTTTTAAGAAACCCAATCGGGACATGCATAGTGCGCGACTTTGGAGGCTTTTTGTTGATTTTTGTTGAAAAATAAACAGCATGTCGATTACGTTTAAAATTATTCCATTAACAAATATGTTCAAGATTGCATTAATGCAATAAAAATAAAATTTCCTTTAATATTTTAAAATTTATACTACATTAAAACAGAGGGACTGGAAAATGGCACATTAGCGAAGAATGACCCTATCCTCTGATTAACTTTGATAGTCGTATAGTTACTAAACAAATTGTCCGGCAAAACTGTCTTGACTTTATTCGTATTTAAAGGTTGCTGTCTCTGTGAGTTTGGTGTATTTTCCGGCCCAACACCTGCTTGCTCACTATCTATTTGTTGTATTTGCGTTGTGTTGGACCTCTTGCGTTTCCCTGATAATAATTATAATAACCCTACCGTGGTACACATTCACGTCTGTAGTGTCCAAATTGTCCAAATTGGTAACATTGTATTTCTGAACGAGGTCGTCTGGATGGTCCGGGTATTGCGGATGGAACTGTTCGCAAGGTTTGTCACCTTGGCGCTGTATGATCTGAGCCTCCACATAGTTGACACAATTCTATACGTGCAGTGGGCCTATCCTGAGGTGTAGGCTTGGTGACTGTAATATCATTACTCTTATTAGTATTACTTATTGTACCTCCAGCACTCATTCGTGCAACTTCACTTAGGCCAAGCAATTTGTTGGCTAACATAGCAACAATTTCCTCAACATGTGTATACTTAACATGTGGTATGTCGGGGTCAATTTTCTGTGCCGCCTCTTCCGCTTGTGCAAAGTTAATTGCATGTTCCAGATTCTCTGGTTGGTTTCGCAAAACCTGTCTCTTGATGCTATTTTGAAGTCCTTGGATAAAATAGTGGAGCTGTTCTGTTTTGTCTATATTTAACCTGTGGCACAATGCCTGGACCTCATGTGCATACTAGGTGACTGCTTCATTGAAACCTTGTTGTCTACAACCAATGTTTGCCGCAGTTGAAAAATGTGTGCGGGCTTTAATTTATATTTCTCCTGTAATTCATCCTTTAACTGTTCGTATGTTGCTATTTCCTCAAGGTTAATGCGGCGCAGCCACTGACCTGCGTTTTCCTGTAACATTTTTTTCAGCCCGATATATTTCCTGTGCTCATCCCAGTTGGCAAACTCCGCATACTTTTCGAAGACGTCCAGCCATTGCTCCACGTCTTGAGTGGGTACCCCTATGAACGCAGGTCGTCTAAAACTGTTTTTGCGGCGGCGCTGTCATTATCGTCAGAATAAATATTTACTGTTTGAATGCAGCAGATGCCCGGGTCTTCCACCAAGTGTCGCGGGATCCCTCAAAACTGCTGACATATGTGAATAACGAGACGAGATACATCCACCATTTTCAACATAGCCGTTATTCTTTCTTCCCATAGAGATATAATAAGAATACTAGAGCGCTAACAGCAATGTATTCGATGTTCGAAATACGCAGAGCTGTGTGTGTGTACCATCCAAGATGGCTGCCATAGATTCAGCCAATCAAATTTCCCCTGAGCACTATCATTTTCA